CCTACTCCACCCACCTCCATCCCAGGCAAGCTCCTGGCCTCCATACCAGACACTGTAGGTGGGAGAGGTGAAAACCCAGCCAGCAAACCTGCCACGAGGGGGGCGCAGGGGAGCCACTAGCAAAGGCCCCACTTCCCCCCTGCTGGGAGTCATGTCAGGGCCTTTCCCTTTTGCTTTGACAGGAGCCTTCATGCCTCCTACCCACTCTGCCAACTTACTGCACACTGGCAGAGACTGCCGCTGCCACAACCACCTGCTGCATCTTCTTCTTGGGGGCACCTGGCAGCAGCGCAGGACGCCATGAGTTCAGCTCTGGCCCGATTTTATCTGATGTTGGGGAGGCAGGAACACAGGGAGGGGGTTAGTGCCGGGGCTGAGAGCAGGGCCAGGCTGACTGCATCCAGGGAACTGGAGGCTCCCACCCCCTTGGCCAGCGCTGGGCTGCACAGCCTGTCTACACTGCCTTGGGCTTCCAGGGGCTGTCCAGGGTGCTGACCAGGGCAGGCTGCCCAGTGAGCCACCTTAAGGTGACTTAAGGTGTCCATGTGTAGATGTGCACCTAAATCACCTGAATGCACCTTAGGCTAAGGCTCATTAAGTTTAGACATGAATACATTCACATGTAGATATGCCCAGTGAGATCAGAATAGGCCCAGCATTGTCTGTATGAAACCCAAATGCCCACTGAGCGGGTTGAGGAAGAAAGGTGCAGGCCCAGGAGCATAAGAAGGGGAAAAAATATCAATGGCAGGAGGTCTTGCACAATGAGTTTGAAAGAACTTCCTTCTTTTGGTGCCCAAGTGACAGGGAAGGGAGATGCAGGAATGACTTACAGGCTTTCCTGAAAGGTCAGTACAGCGAGCTTCTGGTGCTCAGCAGAGAAGAAAGCTTCTGAGAATCTTCTTACCTGGATAGAAAACACACAGATTAAATGTTAGGACTTTTTAAAGAGGATGGGTCCACACATCTGCAAGAAAGTGGTGACCATAGAGATCAGGCTTCAGGTGCGTTGCAGCTGTTTTGCAGCACTGTAGGGGAGCTGAAGCTGTTTTGCCTCACTGGAGCAGCACAAAGCAAGCAGCGTGCTCTGGTGAGTATGCCTCAAGATGTTCGGGGATTGTTAGGACTGAAGGAAATGCCCCTTGGAAATCTATCACTCTGCTCAAACACTCACTCCGTATCTTTGCTCCGGCGCTGCACAGCTGTTGAACTCAACAATTTTCCCTGCGGCTTTTAAAATGAGGGTAATATATTTCTTTTTCCCTGCAACTTGCATAGCAATGGTGAATTTACTAAATGAGAACAGTTAACAGTCACAGTAATCTTTGACATCAAGATTTACAGTCCCTCCCCGGAGAATAATGGGCACTTTGTACATAACACATGGGCGAATAAGCCCTACAGGATCAGAAATGCATGCATCGGTGTCATGATCTTTGCAACTGAAAGCTCTCCAACTCTTTGCATGGTCATTAAAGAGATCAGCTCAGCAATTCTTAACCAGTTGTGAAATAGCTATAGTTGGAAGTAGCTGGCAAAGCACAAAGTGTGAAATAAGTTATAAAAAATCAATACTGCTATCTGCTCAGAAACAGGCCTTGGATTTCAGTCCAATATAATATGGAATCCAGCATATCCAGCTGCTAAATTCTAGTCTGTGCTAGTATGTACTGTAGTAATTTGTATTGCAGTACAGTATCCTAGAGTGACCACCAAAAACATGCATCGTAATGGTGCAGCCTCCCCCCAACCCAATCCCCAAGCTGTCTTCTGACAAACAGTTTTTCTTTCAATACATGAATGTCCCTTGCAAAAAGGCAGTTTAATAATATTACTTTCTATTTGAGTCTCTCAAAGCACTGTCCACAGCTGGTCAAGCATCATCACACCTGCTTGATATATGGGAGAACAGTAGCACATAGAGGATGATGGTGACATAGAAAGTTAGTAGCAGCCACATCTAAAATCCCAAACTCCGCTTCTAGGTATCTGCTGTAACCATTAGACAAAGCCACTTCTTCAGCATAAAGGTTGCATAAAGAAGGTATTTCTGCTTCTTACCTTTCCCTATAAAGAGGTTAGTTCTTACGTAAGATACTACAGCAAAGCAAGGCACTTAAGCACCTGCTTAGCAAAGCAGGCAAGCAATTCCACTGAATTCAATCTTAAATTAAGTGCATTTTTAAAGTAGAGGTCCAGTGCTCTTATCAATGTTCAGTATCAAATATACAAAAGCCAGTAGTGACTACTTCCAATTTGGTCCTACAGGTACCTCCACTTAAGTGCTACATCTGCTAAAAATTACGCACTGGCCCCAGGAAGGTAATACATACCAAGAAACCCATGATTCAGAGGGCAAGGATCAAGAAGAGAAAAGCAACGGGGGTACGTGCATTTCTAGCCTAGCGATGTAGTCACCGCCTTACGAATGAGAGTCCTGAGTTCTCATCTCTGTTCCCAGGACTGTTTATGCATTTTACATTACCCAATTATTGATTAAAAATCTTAAATAACCCCAAGAGCAGGGGCTTGGACCAGGTCTTCCCCTTCCCAGATAAAAATCTATAATGTTTATGAAGCAAAATTATTAGTGCAGCCCCTGGCCCCAGAAGCAGCCCCCTTTACATCAGCCCCAGCAGAGATCTTCCTTCCTCTCTCCGAGATGGGCTTCCTGGGCTTCGCTGTGTTTTCCCACTGATGGAACCATGACACTACCCAACTTCCTTTTTTCCCATTACTTTTTCATATGCTTGTGACAAGATATTTTGCAGAATTTGCAGATTTGTTGAAATCCGACAGGCTGCACTGTGACCACTTCTGCTATGGCCTCAAGTTTGCAACTGCTGTCCTCCAGGTGCCTTAGCATCCATGCCACCCCAGCTCCCATGACCCAACTGAAAACCTGTTGCTACTGCAAAGGCAAGGTCATTCCTTGCTCTTATTTGTTAAGGCAACAGCAGTGATGTGATAGTTGGAAGAAGCATTCAAAAAATGCCACTTGTTATCATTCACTTGTACATGTGGGGCCAGTACGAGGCCTTAGGCATCACTGGAGCAGTACATAGGAATTGCATATAATGCTAAACAGATTTCTTCCTGTAAGGTTGTTCTCACCAAACCCAAAATGGATTATATTGCATACCCTTAATGTGTGATGCTCCTGAGTAAGATAGGCTGTGATGTCTGGATGGAGTGTCACCACCTCCAGGAACTGAGTCCATAATGCCAGAAGATGGGAGCAAAGCCAGGTTAGGTCCTTGCTTATCTGTTCTGCTATCTTTTCTGGATTGTTCAGCAGCTGGAAAAGAAGAAGAAGGATGTTTGGTATCAGGCCAGTGATATGAAACAGAAAGAAGCTGGGCAAGTCTATATGAGATGCTAAATGCTCAGGAGACTAATTTTACTGTGCATTAGTGTGTCACGGCAAAAGCCGTGCTATGGCACTAATGCACAGCAGAATTCGTCTACTGTGCATTAGCATCAGTTAAAAGGCATGTGCTGGTGGTACAATGTAGCAGCACTGGTTACTGCACACTTAGTTAGTACCTGTTATTACAGGTACTAAACTTAATGAGCGGTAACCACAGCACATTCATGCACACGTAGACGTGCCCACTGAGACATCAGGTTAAGATTCCCTTTAAAAAATAAAAGGAATCTCAGCCATGAACTACAGTGATTCATTTTTCCTAACAGTGAATACTATTCCAGAGCAGGCAAGTTAATCTAAAATGATTTCTTTCAATGCATTTCTTTTTGTACAGAAATGGCCATGCTGGGCAGAAGTGGCTGTACAAAACAGCTGAGTGGGAAGTGGGCAGAGTGCTACACATAATTGACATTTCTTATTGCAGGTGGAAATAGGTGACTGCAGAAAATAGTTGTTGATTCCAAACTATCCACTTGATGGTGCTGCTAACTCTGCAAATGTAGAGTGATGAGCCATCTACCTTGAGAACCACGTCATTTCCATCCATGCCAGGACACTATACCACTTGTATGGCTTTTCCTTAAAAAATATAAGTATCTCCACAATACCAACTGCAAACACATACAAGCATTTTCCTTCTTTCTCTGCTGTACTTGTACAAAATTGAGAAATGGGTACCAGACTGGTGTGTTTTCTTTCGTAGTTTTAGGGTTGAAAGGGACCTCAACGGACCCCTAGTCCAACCGTCTGCCTGCATGGACAAAGGATGTACTGCTCTTAAAACTACTGTTATTTATAAACTCCAACATCTGCAGCATAGCACAATAATCGTATCTTTGGCTCCTGGAGCCTAAATAAGTCTTCCATAGGTCTCTAAACAGTAATTACAGCACTTGTGCCTTACAGTAAATGGATTTGTACAATGTCTCTAGCACAATGGGGCTTTGATCCATGTCTAGGGACCCTATGAACTTTTTTAATAGTGGGAATTGCTTAAAAATTCTCCTTGCTAGACTATCCCTTTCCATCTAGCATGTGTACAGGTTGAGCAGGATCCAACGTTGTTACACAAGCCTCTGCCCAAGGCTGGTAGCATTGAACCATAGATCAGGATTCAAAGTAAATCCTTCCCGGGAATATGTATGCAATAAATGGGGATGTCCATATTGTACTTAACAGGACTTTGACTGTTAAGTTCCCGATCCTGCTGATTGTTCAGTGTGGACAAGCCCCTGCACTAAATTGGACTACCGGTAAAATTAAAGGGGCATCTGGACAGCTGAGCTAGCCCTTGCGTGTGTGAGAAAAGTCCCTGCACTGTCAATCAGATTATTTACTACTGATTTGAAACATTATCCCCCGAGGTATTGTTCACCTCAGACATTACAGTACAGCCTTCAAAGAGGTGGCTTATTAAACTCAAATAGCATGATAGCTATTTTCCCCAGTTTATTGACTTTTAACCTTTTCATCATCTATAGTGAAAAAAAAAGGCATGAAAGGTCAATGTCAAGCACTAATAATGATGTCCCTTCAGTATAACAGAGTGGGGCATACACAAGGAGAGTTCAGTAGTTGGCAGGCATTAGACCAAGACTCAAAAAGTGCCTGCAACTCTTGGTCCTCAGGTATCCAGACCTCCTCAGATTTGCTCCATGAGCAGGGCTGAAAAGGATCACAAGCTTCTAATTGCTCCAGGTGCATCTGATCACCATAGTTTCCATGCCTGCCGGGACTTTCAAAAGGAGCCCAAAAGAGCCCACGCCACACATTCAAAGATAATGAGTCAGGGCACCGACATTTCAGAGGCTGTTTTAAAAATCAGCTATTAAAAGATTTAAATCAATGCCGGTGCTCTTTCTGTTCACCTTCTAGTTTCCAAATACCATTTTAAAAGCTTTTCTTTTTAAATGGAAGGATAAAAAAAAAAAATCTTACTTTCCTTTTTTAAAGAAAACCTAAGGGTTGAAATCCCATCTGCAATTCTGTCATCATAGAACTCATAGATTTCATAGATGTTAGGGCTAGAAGGGACCTTGCAAGATCATCGGGTCCAGCCCCCTGCCCCAGGGGTGGGAAGTCAGCTGGGGTCAAATGATCCAGATTATGGCCTCCCAGGGCCACAACAACCAGCCTCCTGAGCTTGTGAAAGTTGGCTTTCCTAAAATCAAGGGGTTAAAGTTGGGGCTCTGCAGAAAGGCACCAAATGCCATGACAGCCAGTCATGCTATGGGGATAGGAGGTATAATCACTACAAACTCCTGCATTTGGGGGTTTCATCCCTTTCTCAGTAAAGATTTATAAATCAAGGGTTTTGTCTGTCCTGAAGCAACTGTTTTCTTACCTGCTACTAGCAGCCCCAAATGCTAGTGTATGGTTATTATATGGTACTCACGGTGCTACCACGAGAAGAGGTCCACCTGGCCACCCTTCCCTTTAAAATTAAACAGGACCTGGGTACTTTGCTTGCTTAGGTTCCTTTGCCGATTCATTGCCCCTAACCTTCAGGCTTCTATCATAAAATGTTGACTGAATGAATCGTTATCGTCTCATGATTATGATCTTGGACGTTTGTATGGCATCTGCCAAACCCCAGTGAGGTAATCCTTCACAACACCCCCGAGAGGTACATAACTCCCCATGTTTTACAGAGGAGATGTTCAATGTTTCCTAACTCATGTGCTATCTTTAATACTCATGGAATTTAAAGCCAGAGGCCATTCAGTCATTTTGTCTGACCACCTATATATCTGAATTTCATCCCCGTGTTGAGCCCGTCAACCTCGTGTTTGCCATAACTTCCAAGAAGGTCACTAATCCTGGTCTGAAATCAAGAGGTGGACAACCCATTACTTTTCTTGGCCATTTGTTCCAGTGTTGATCAGCCTCACTGTAAACAACAGTTGTGACTTTTATTTAATATTAATTTAACCTCAGCCTCCAGTCATTTGGGGGGGGGGGGGTCATTACTTTTTTTCTTTTTTAAACTAAAGAGACTTTTCGTACCCAATGTGTTCTGCCCATGAAAATATTTCTACCCTGCCATGGCATGCTATCCATGGAAAGCAAAACAGATTGAGCTCTTTCAGTTCCTCACTGTAATGTATTTTCTCTGGTGTCTGAAACCATTTTTTACACCCTATCTGATTTGTCACCCTCCCTCTCAAAATGTGGACACCAGGACTTGAGAAGGCCATGTTCAGAAATAAAATGGCCTCCCTACTTTTACTCATTCTCCCTGCTTGTACACTCATTTAGCTCGAGTCACCCACATTTGAATATTTAGCCTCATATAATCAGTCCCACACCAGGCATTCAATAAGCAGCGGAGCCGTCATTATGACTGCCAAGTGGTAGCCTCCAACCTCAGTCTCAGTCCACTGGACCGAGCTTACCTCTGGGACTGGATTTAGTAAAGGAAACATCCGCCTTCATTAAAGCACCCTAGCCAGCCATGAAGTGGCAATGACAGAGGCTTTTTGTGAATTTACCTTCATAAGGGTGAAAATAAGTGCAAGAAATATTCATTTAACTTATTGCCAACACTGAATTTGCTTCCCTTCAACTGAGTTGTCTCAGAGCCTTTAGAAGCTGAGAGCGTGGATTGATTCCATTAAAGAAAATACCTGCAGCTCTGTACAAAGTTGAGATAACGTATCTTCCACAGACAGCTCCTCTAGGGGGGAAATAAAAAAAAAAGAAAAGAAAAGAAAGAAATCAAGCTGGAGAAGAGTTGGCATAAAACATTAACTCATAACTGTCAATCAAAATGAGCAGCTGTTCACTCAACAGTCCACATTTCATGGGCAAGAATCTCTTTACACCTGAACACAGAGTCTCCCTTCCAACAGATGCTTTTCCTAACAGCCGAGTCCTGCTCGTCTCACTCAGTTATCCCCGCTGGAGTTCAATGCGACTCTTAGCAAAGCAAAGGGGGCATGCTTTGGTCCTCCCTACACAGAACTGCTAGTGGCAGCAGCTCGGTATATAAAAGGAGCATCAGCACTACAACATGTCCTACTCCTCTTCCAGCCCACAACTCTGTGAACACCACCGCTGCAGCACGTTCAACTTCCAGAGGGTTTAACCGTGGTTGGGAGCGCCCTGAACTGCACAGGCAGTGTCCAATACTTTCCAGGATTATGGTCTTGGCTCACTTCATAATAGAAAGAGAGCACAGTGCCCTGACAAAACCCTGCCAGAGAAGCAAGTGCTTCTACCAATCATCATTCCTTGCATCTGCTCCTTGGTATCTGAATGATGAGTCAGGACAGGCTTGTAGCTCTTCCTGAAGCACTAGGTTTGCTGGCTTGATCTTGAAGGCTGATCTAGCAATCAGATCCATCTTAGGTTTGCAGACCATTTAGGCAATGCAAATGCTGTGCACAGTTTCAGGAGTGTTAGTTGTAGTCGTGTTGGTCTAAGGACATAGGCAGACAAGGTTCTTTGGGTAAATGTGATATCTTTTATTAGGTGAACCTTGTGATAACTCCAAGTAACCTCTCTGCTTTTTACCAGCTTCATTCTAGCACCAGATCAACATTCTCCTCTTTCTCCCTTTCACCTACCTGTCTTGCACTGATCGTCTCCCACCCTCTGATCTTCACTGCCACGCATTTGCATTTTCACAGACCTGCATTTTGCAGATTGGCTTCTATTCCACCCAGGAGAGCACACAAACACCAGCAGACACTCCCTATGCCTGAAGTAGGGTGTTTGTGCTCAAAAGCTTGCAAAGGACAAGTTTCCCAACTAGTTGGTCTAATAAAAGACGTCACATTTACCCAAAGAACCTTGTGTGCACAGTTTCATACACAAGTAGCGAAATAACAATATTTGCAGTTGGCAAAGCTGCATGTGGAACATCAAATCTGTGTGCAAACCAAGTATATATTTATCCACTGTAATTTGCCTTAAAATGTATATAGAAATGTATGTGTATTTGGGGCCATTTTCTATTTGCAAGCCATGAAGAACACAAGAAGCTATGGCCTTTGCTCTTCACAGCCTCTGGAGTGACCAACATATATGCATTATCTAAACCTGTGACCAGCTGCTAGGGCATATGCAGCCTAGCTTCTGCTGTGCACTTCATTACAACTGACAGGTTGAAAGGCCTGACTTGAAAGTCTCAGGTCTGTTTTTAAGGCTGTTTTCTCAGGGCTGAATCAGACCAACCAGTTTTTCAATTAGAGACAGGTGGTTCAGGGAGGAGACCAGGCATCCCGTAACCGTGAATGCAGTGAGACATGGACGCGGGAACCACCCAAGCATGGGAAGTGCAGCACGATGCATTCCATTTGACAGCCCTGATAGTACCTACACAGTCAAAAAGGAAGACATTTCCTATTTACAAAACCACCGATGCACAGAGTAAGGCATGTTTCATCTCCAGGATGGTAAATATAGCAATCAGATCATAGTTTTAAATAAAAATAAAAGCATCATCCATATTTCTTGAATCTAAGAAAAAAATGGAGGGGAAATAAAAAACAGCAGATGGATTGGGGATTGCTTGGTTTATAGGGAATTTTTTCAAGCCACAGCAAACATGAGTAGAAATTAAGCAGTGATATCCTGCAACCCTCCCCTCTCCTCCCCTAAAGGTATGGCCTCAAAATTATTAGTAGGAATGTAAAAGGTCTATACAGCCCTATTGGTTTATGCAGAGTATGATCATCTATTAAGCAAATAAACACAGGCGAATAGCAGAATGCATTGCAACAATTATGCTATTAAATAATTTCTGATTTGCTTTGGAATGTATTTTTTTAAAAACATGCAAAATCAGAACATGTTTTAAAAACATTTCCCCAAAATCCTGATTTTTGTTTCCCAAATCGAAAGACGGCTGCTTATGGAGTGGTTAATTCCAGAAGTTTTCCCATGCTAAAAGCTTAGGTCTTTAAAATGGAACTTCCTGCAGATATCATCCAAAGACCAAACATGCTTTTTTGTGTTTCTTCAGATCTTTTCATCCCTAAACACCCAGGGCCAGATCTCCAGTTGGTGTAGAGATCTTACAAGAGAGCTGATTTATAACAGACAAATATGTAGGTAATCATTCATGATTACCCTGACAAACACCAAAAATAAAACCAGGCCCTTCCCTTGCTAAAATCCTAAGGAAACAAGGCTTCCTTATGTCAGGGTGTATTAAAAAAAACCCACACAATCAACACAAAATGACTGAAAAGTCTGTTCACTTACCTAACTTCAGCTGCGGTAAATCTGGAATCTCCTTCATCAGGACTGTGTAGTAAATCTGAAGTCCTCTGTAAGCATTCAAGAGCAGCAGACACAAGTCCTTATGCCATTTGTATGCATGCTGCATGCAGTTTTCAGAAGGAACATAAAAGCTACCCTGGAGAAGAAAAACGGTAAGATCAACTAAGATGTGGATTGACATTTATGCTTCTTTCGTGCCGTTTTCGAAATCCAAGTGTGGACAGTTCATGTGCTTTTCCTTTCAAACCAATGGGCATGCTACCAGAGAAGAGATTTAAACCTCCCCAATCCCACTTGCAAGACATTTCCTTTTCCACCTTTAATTCTTGATTTCCCTTCACCTTCAGTTTCCAAAGCACAGTGCACCCTGATAGGAGAATATCCACAGCATAACACCTCTTTATTCTTTTCAGAAGCCTTAACTCCTTCTAGATTTCAAATTCAGGAAGTCAGGGGATTGGATCTGCTATGTGTGGGAAGCATTTGGGCAGATAAAAAGATGTTTAACAAAAAAGCATCCAAAAATAGTCACAATAAAGAAATAGTATTTTACATTTACCACTCAAGCTGTTGCTTGCATTATTGCTACAAAGTCAAAGGAACCATCAATTTAAAAACCACAGATCATTTGGGAGAAATGTCTGCCTGCAATTATTACGCTGGATGCCTAAAAATAACTGGGAAGAAGGAAAACATGTTTTGCTATTCTCTCAATGTATTTACTTGGCACATTTAGCGAAGAGTCAATTCCAACATTTCCCCCCCCCTTGGGTAATGAATTAAACTGACATCCTGCAGTTAGTTTTTAGTATGAGGCTTGAAAACACTTCCCCTTGTCATTTATGTTCCTTTTATCCAGCAACACGTGGGAGAGAAATACTTTAAAACAGGGAACCACAATGGTGAGACTGGAGTATCTGTCAGTGGGGCTCAGAGGCAAGTGTCTGTTATCTAATGACCTTTCAAATTGATGGTCTGCCATTAAGCTAGAGAAGAAACAGGCTCACATTTAAGGCCTTGTACCCAAATATTCTGAAACACAAAGAGAAATCAGATGCTGATAGACCAGGAGTAGGCAAAATACAGCCCCTGAGCCAGATCTGGCCCACATACGGTTTTCATGCAGCTCACCAGGTCTCTTGGCCTTGCCTGAGCGGCAGCTTAGGCACAGGAGGGTGCTGCCAGTCCCACTGCCCCAGGCATGCAGTGCGGCTGGGGTGACGCAGTGACCACACTCCACTGCCCAGGCACCCCAGCTTGTCTTCCCTCACCCACCACCAGGTGCATTGGACAGAGCAGATGGGTGGGATTTTCATTGAGACCAGTCTGGGACTCCTATGGACACGGCGCGTTCAGCCAGGTATACAGGATGGGGTTGCACCTGGGAGCATCATCTGCGAGTGAGACGGGTGAGCAGGGAGCAGGATGGGTGGATGGGGCCAAGACTGGGATCACAGGACGGTGACAGCATGGGGCCAGGGTCTGGGACAGAGCCACAAGTCCTCTCCAATACAGCACTGTTGCAGAGTGGTGCAGCCCCAATGGATTGATACCCAGATTGGGTCACCCCATGTTGCCAAAACTCCCTAAGTAGTCCTCCAGACCAAATAATTGCCCACCCCTGCGATAGACACATTGCCAACAGCCTTGCTCCTACCAGAGGATTAGACCTGCAAATTCCTACCACACCTGGGTAGAATAAGTCAAATAGACCAGTGGGTGCCTCTTTCAGCTGGCAAAAAAATTGCCCAGTTCAGCTCCATTAGCCCCTGCCAGACACTTGCACTACACACTTGCAGCATTCCCTGTGGACTCAAAGACCCTACTTTGGATTTCCAATCCCTACTCAGCAGTGTCTGGGAAATCACCTACTAATTTCAGTAGGTGCCCCCTCGTTCCAGTATTCTGGGACTTAGTGAGCAGTGGTTCCCTTTTCATTTGGTCCACACCCTTCATGATTTTATAGACTTCTAGCATATGCCCCCTCAGCTCTCTTTCCAATCTGAAGAGCCCTAGCCTTTTTAGTCTCCCCTGGTATGGCAACTGTTCCATGTCTCTGATCATTTTGATAGCTCTTCTGTGCATCTTTCCTAATCCTCCTACATCCTTTTTGAAATGTGGGGACCAGAGTTGCATGCACTATTCAACATGTGGGCACACACGCCCTTGGTTTGCATAATGACATGATGATGTTCTCTGTTTTGTTTTCAATTTGGTTCTTAATGATGACTAACATGTTATTGGTTTTTTGGTCACCAATGCATACTGAGCTGGTGTTTTTAGAGAATTATCTACAATGACTCCAAAGTCTTTCCCCCTCGAGTCATAACAGCTAGATCAGCATTGCGTATGTATAGCTGAGGTTATTTTTTCTCAGGTGCATTACCTTGCACTTGTCAACATGCATGTTCATCTGCCTTTTTATTTTTGCCCATTCACTTAGCTGGGTGAGATCTTTCTGCAGCTTCCCTCCACCAGCTTGTGACTTGGCTAGTCTGTTGTCTCTTCAAGGTGGTCCAACTCCTCATGCCTGTCTATTAGGACAGGTTGAACTGGCATGGGAATTTCCCCAGTGTCTTCTGCGCAAACACTGATGCAAAGAACTGGTTTATCTTCTCTGCTGTGGCCGTATCGTCCCTGACTGCACCTGGTCTAATAAAATATATCATCTGTACTATGAGTCTTGATTGCCTTTTCCTCTGTACCAACACAACTACAACCTGGATACCTGACACATGGAAGATACCAAATTTTAGCCATTTTTTTTTTAATTAAATATTCATATTTTCCCAGGCAGGAAGCAACTGTGACCACCTGAAACCTGAGCTCCTGCTCCTGCCTTTGTTTCAAGGTCATTTGCATCATCACAGATCCTCACAGGAGGTGAGAGCCTCCATACCAGCTATGAACTGCCTGCCCAGAGGAGTTTTCTATCTATTGACTACCCTGTGAAATATGAATTTTCATTTATACCCAGGAAAACTTTTACAATCTTTTCTCCAATGCCTGATGAAGGGTGTTTGTGCCCGAAAGCTTGCAATTAAGATTTTTTTTTTTTTTTTTGCAAAAATCTTGTTGGTCTAATAAAAGATATCATCTCTACTATGATTCCCAATTGCCTTTTCCTCTAAACCAATACGGCTACAACCTGGATACCTGTTACACCTTGCCATCTAATGGTTCCACCAATTCTCTAGCTGTTTTCTGATGTATTTTTAAAAGTTTTTTTTTAATTAACATTAGCATCTTTTGCTAGATTCTGCTCAAATTCTTTTTGACCTGCCTTATTTTGCTTTTTACACGTGACCCAAGAACAATGTTCTTGTTTTCCTCATTTGCCATCCGTTGTTGGAAAGGTGCCTTTCTGCCTTGAGTGGCCTCCTTAACTCTGCTATTAAGCTATTCAGGGGTTGTACTATATTGCTTGGTACCCTTTTTGATTAGGAGCATGCTCTTTTCCTGAACCTCTGATGTAGTATTTTTAAACAGCTTCCAAAATGCCGGTAGGGTTTCTATACATTTTCCTGCTCCTGTAGACTTCTTTCAATCTAATGTCCTCTTGTGTAATTTCCCTTCCTAAAGTTGTATATTGGCACAGTGGCCTTTTTTGGCTTGCTCCCTCCTACTAGGATGTTGAATGTGATTATGTTATGGTCCCTATTACAGATTGGCTCACCCATGGGTACCTCTTGAACCAGATCCTTTGTGTTACTCAAGATTAAGTCTAGAATTGTGTCTCCTCTTGTTGGTAGCAAGATGAGTTGTTCTAGAAAGTAGCCATTTATCACATCCAGAAATTCTCTTCCCACATTTCTCCCTGCAGAGGTGTTTAGCCAGTCTGCAAGGATAGTTGAAGTCTCCCATTAGTATTGCTTGTCCCATTTTAACAGCTTCTCTGATCTCCCTGAGTATTTCATAATCATCTTCACAATCAGGTGGTTTGTAGCACAGTCCTATATTCTATAATATATTCTTTTTATTCAAGTATGACATTTCTACTCACAGGGAGCCTATGGTAGCTTTCTTATCAGTAACAGCATAAAATATTATCTATACTATCCCTAACACAGTGCTGCTATTCCACCTGCATATTCTCCTCCACCATTCCCATACCGTTTGTAACCTGTTAGAACAGCATCCTATTGATTATCATCGTTCCACCAAGTCTCTTAGATGCCTGTTATGTCCAAGTCACCATTTAATGCCGTGCATTCTGGTTCACTCTTCTTATTTTTTAGGGTTCTGACCTTTGTACAGAGGCACTTATAAATTGTGTGCTTCCTCAACTGCCTTGTACTGCTCATGCTATTTGTTTGAAACTCTAGATGTTCTGACTTATGCTCACTGTTATCTACAGTTATACTCAACTCCTCTGCAAGCCTCTTCAAGGTGGTAAGGAATTTGAAAGACATCCCCCCTTGGGGTTGCATCAACCCAACTTGCATGCTCTTGTGCATACATTGGCTTTCCCCCACTTTTCAGTTTAAAGATTGCTCTACAAACTTTAATTGTTAGTAGCAGCAGTCTGGTTCAGGTGGAGCCCACCTTTTCTGTATATGTTCCTCCTATCCAAAAATGTTCCTGATAAATCTAAACCTCTCCTCCCTGAACTAGAGTCTCATCTATGAACTAAGACTCTGGAGCTCTGCCCGTCTCTCTGGCCCTGCGCATATGGCTAGCTCAATCTGTGAACTGAATTGAGTTGGACCAGCTCATGTTGTGAAGTCCATGGATGACATTGATTTTGGGAAAGACTTAGGCAATAAGAAGGTGGAAGCCTTCTGCATTTTGGCAGGGAGTTTGAATTGTACAGCTGCACTGGCTACTCCTTAAAAATTATAATTCAGTGCTTTGAGCCAGACTGCATGGCTTGAGCTTGCTTATGCCCAGGGCTACCAATAAAAATGCCTTCTGGGACTGTGTGCACTGGAGACAGCATTGGCTGGACTCCTCCCCTTGCACTCCCCCCGGTGAAGCTGTCTCCTATGAGAGTCTAATACACCGCTGCCATCTGTGCCACATAAGATACAGGTGTTTTAGAAACTTCTCTATACAATCTGTTTTGTTTAGTTCTGCAACAAGGCAGTGCTGTAACAGGGTCTGCTTGCAGCCTCCCTTGACATGGATCACCTTTAA